GTCCTGACGGTACGAGCGGACGGGACCAAGCTGCCTCTGATGTTTGTCATGCGCGGGACGCCTGGAGGCCGGATCGAATCAACTGAGTTCCCTACATTCCCGCCGTGGCATTACTACGCCGTTCAAGAAAAGGCGTGGATGGATGGTCGTGTATGGGCACAGTACCTTCGCGAGGTGTTGGGCGAGAGCATCGAAGAGCCTTCAGTCGTGCTGTTGGACAACTTTGAATGCCACGTGTCAGATGAGTCGTACAAGATCATGTATGAAGAGCTGGGTGCGCACCTTTGCCCGCTGCCGCCCAATTCAACGTCCGTCTGCCAGCCGCTCGACGTGGGCGTGATGGCACCCTTCAAGCGCAACCTCCGCAACTTGTGGCTATTGGAAGAGCAGATAGTCGGTGATGATGAAGATCCATTCTCACCTACCGCTTGTCAAAAGCGCATGGCGATGGTGAAGCGAGCCATCGCTGCGTGGGACATGGTGTCTGACGATGTGATCCGCCGAAGCTTTGAAAAGGCAATTCCAGAATTGGTGGCAGATAATTGATTCAATTTTTAACAAAGTTCACTGGATTCTTTATAATTTCATAGATTTCCTAGGTTATAAAATAAGTCGAATTTTTCAAAGAAAAAAGTTCGACGCGCCCGGGACTTGAACCCGGGGCTCACTCAAGACACACAACGTGTTTAACCACTGCGCTATCGCGTCGAACGCTTACGCTTATTGTTTGTCTACGGTAGTAATCGAAGTTCTTGGATTGTTTTCCTTCTACTCTTAATGACCTCTTTATTTCATTGCGATATTGCCAGTGCTGAACAAATTTCACTGTACGTACGATGTGGAATTTTATCACCTTCAGAAGTGATTAAAATTATTCGAAATAGGCTGCGATTGGCTAGAATAGTTGTCGAACTTCGTAGTTGTGTGACCAATTAGACAACTTCATTCCGTCTGAACTCGAAGTCAAGGTGGGCGTTGCATTCCCTCTTTCCCAGTATACCGGTAAATACCATCGTGTGTAAATACTAAGTTGACATCGCTGGGAATCGAATCCAGGTTTCCTGCAAGCAGGCGCGCTGCCATTGGCCACAACGTCATATTCGTGAACATCTTTCTATCGCCGCATCGTTCTTGTTAGCCTTCTACAGCATACCGCTGGTTCATGGGCTTTAGAGTAGTTTGACCAACGCGACACTGCAAACTTACCTCATTGGTCGATGCACAGGATTCATGCCGGATCGGCTGCGGGTCCGCGGCAGATCCATGGTTGGTAGATAGCACACTAACGTTGTGACATTGCGTTGTTTCCCACGCCAGTGCCAACACAAACAACTAAATGGGGGAGTGCCGACTCCCTGCAAACCGCACACTTGATGTTACCACGGCGCTGCAGAACCAAGAGTGAGTTTCCGGCAGTTGGCAGGAACAGGTGCTCTGTTTTCTACGTCCTTGTACTACTAGTACTGCTACTAGTAATACTACCCCTTTCCGTGTCGGTTCGCCAAGGGTCGGCACCCGGTGGCCTCGGTTGAGGACCACCTGTGTCATGGCGGGACTTGGATGAAGTCGCCCACCACAACACCCCCCCAAGCCATGTCCCGCAGGACACACTTGGGCCTCGCTAATTCTTCGCGCTCGCTCGCTTCATCGCCTTGCGCAACACATCGCCTTCGCTCGCTTTCTTCACGCCTTCAACGTAGTTTTTAACCACGGCCGGGCATTCTTGCATGAGCTTTTGTAGCGGTTCCCATCAGGACTCGATATCCTCAAAGCCTTGCCAAAGAACTTCAAGCATGAAATCTTTCACATACGGGACAAACTTGTGTCCCGCCATGGACTTGACCTTCAGCATGATCTCTTTCTCGGAAACATGTTCGAGGATCTCGTCAGTCACTTCAAAGCTGTCTTCGGCGTAGAGCTTGACTCTTGATGTGTGGACTTCCCACAGCTCATGAGTCACCAGGTGCTCCAACACGACGGAGAATTCGCCCACTTCCTTGACTCGGTAGGGGGCTGTCCAGGTTACGAGAATCTTGGGGTGATAGCGTTCGTCGACACGGGACCAGAGCACATAATCGCCTTCGCTGACATTGCACTGCTCGTACTTTTCAGTCGCCTTCGCCACACGCATCGCATTCTTGTAGAGGACTTCTTTGTGCATCGTTGTTCCATTTTTCGGCCTACTCCGACATGGCTCATGGAGCGACGATGACGTGCTCAAGGACTATCGGCTAACAAACGACTACCGCGTCGTGAACTCGCTAACCGAGCCGAAGGCGGGGACAATGCCATTCCAAGCTACCATCCTCCAAAACCTGCGGGGCAAGAAAGCGATGGGAGTGTTTGACTTGCCCAAGTGCTTTTGGCAGTTCATATGGCTTGAGGACTGGGCTCACCGAGCTACACCACGCACACTACTGGTTGCTCTTGATCACACCTGCATCGAATAGTTCTTGTGCAAACAACTTGAGGAACCTCTCCTCCAGGATATTGTGCTTCCTTCCTTGGCATCGGTAAGGAACACATCCATCCTTCGGGGTCACCTTCAGCGGCTTCACTTTCGCTGGTGGGTCTGACCAGTCGCCAGATGTCACGCTTGCTGAGCACATCCCACAGTACTTTAGCAGCGAATCAGACGCAGGTGAGCTTCGTCTTTTTCGAACACTTCCAATTTGCTTGGTCGCTGCGTCAAGAAGTTGTCGTAGCGACGCCACAAGCTCGGTGTAGCGGGGGATGCCGGACCGTATCCAGTTGTCGCGCACACGAACTCTTGGAGGTCGGCAGTTCTGGCAGGCGGCGCGAGCGCATAAAGTCCTTGGATTCTTGTGGCGGAGTGCTGGACGCCTTCAGTTGAAAGACTTTGCCGCACCAGACGGCCTTCGTGAGGAAAAAATCGCATTTCGTCGGGTTGAGCTTCAGGTCGAAGGAGGAGCAGATCGTGAGGACTTCGAGGAGGTCTTCAGGGGTCTCGGCGCAGCTAACATGTCGTCGAGCCAGGCTAGGAGTCCCTGTCAGGGCGGCGTCGAGGTTCGGCATAGGCCATGGCATCGGCTCCGTGCACGCGTTCATGGGCTGGCTGTCGACGGTCACGCGCAAGTCGCCAGTGTCTTTCTTGGCGCCGAGGCCCATGTTGCGCGGTTGTTGCGGTACACCAGGCCGGCTGCTTCCAGCTCGCGCACATGTGTGTTCAGGAACTCCATATGTGCTGGGGGGTATCGTCGCAGGCCACACTTGACTGGGATGGCGCCATACTTGATTCGCACCCGCAGCGGCCCACCTTGACCGGCTCATCATGGCCGATCTCCCGAAGGAATACTTCCACCGTGCTTGGCCTGTCGCAGCTTCTCGAGGAGGTCCGCGGTCAAGCCTTCGTCTTCGGCGGCACGTAGCTTGTCTTGAATTACCGCTTCAACCACCGCTCGCCGCCTGTTCCGCTCATCTTCTATGTCTTCAGCAGATGGGACTTGGATGTTGGGGGGGCACAGTGCATGCCGTCATCACCGCACTCGTCTCTTGAGGCGGCCACTTGTGTCAAGCGGCTGACGCATGCCTTCGCAGACGGCTTGTCCACGTCGCTGACATCCCAGACTTCTTGCTTGGCAAAGGCTTGGCTGAGCAACTCGTCTTCAGAGTACAGTAGCCTAGTCGTTCCATCACAGCCCGGCTGATCAGGAGCTCTACCGCGTTGGATGAAGAGTCCACCCAGGCCTTGAGTCCACGCAGGGCCAAAGGTCCATAGGGGGTGTCCAGGGTGACCAACTTGAACTACATTGGCGGCTGACCTTCAGGGCAGGTGCTTGGCCATACGGCTGGATCACGGATGGCTCCGGCGAAATCACCTTGTCTTCCACGCCGGCTAGCTCCAGGGACTTCGTGACACCGGCTCACCAAGGATACGTCGGAGCTGGTGTCGTGGAGGGTTGTCGTGACGGAAGCCAAGGAGCTTGATCACCTTCTTATTGTGCGCGCTCTCCCACATGTCCATTTGCTCCTTGAGCAGGCGCACGGATTCGCCATGAACGCAACTTAGGGCAGTTTGCCACCTTGTGGTTCTCGCTGCCGCACTTGAGGCAGGTCGCCTTCTTGCGCTCGTACATCGCGCTGTCTTGCTCGGGGGGCCGGGGAGGTCCACTACTTCCGCCAACGCTGCCTTCCGATCGTCCAGGTTTGGACGGCTGCGATGGTGCTGCGGCTGCCGTCGCAGGCGGTGCCGAAGTCTTCTCGTTTTCTACCAGGGCATACAAGTGGTACCCGGCGCTATGCACTCGGAGCCAGTCAATGATACGGTACACGTTGGGCTTCAACGGTTTATTCCGTTGGAGGTTCAGCTGGCGTTGGACAGACTTCTGCAGCCGAAGCGGTGAAATCACCTTGACCATGATGTCGACAAGTGTATTGCCTTCTTAGTGCAAGACCCACTCTTGGTCATCTCATTCCAAGGCTAGCATGAGGTTCTATAGCATCTTGCCAATCCGCAAGTCGGTGTCCAGAATGGTCGTGCCGAACCGGATCGACTTGGTCAAACGCTTCTTGAACACTTCGAGGTCTTGAAGATCCTCTTCAAACGCCTTACTAAACCATACGTCCCAGTGACGACATGGTAGTTGCGGTTGGTCATGTCCCACATTACCACACGCTTCTTGGTAAAAACGTCAATGCACGCGCTGATAGACATCACAAAGGGTCTTGAGCCATTGATCTGAAGGGCGTTGACTTGGTCCAATGGCGGATGAATGTACGTCGCTCCGACTTGGTCGAGCCGTTGAACGAGGGAGCTCGTCACCTTGTCGCATGCCATCGTCATTGGGGATAGGGGGCAGGTTCGTGGCGCCAGTTGGTGTCGCAGCTGGCGCGGGGTAATCAAATGGCACGGTCATGGGGGTCGGTGTGGGTGCCGTAAATGGTGTGTTCGCATAGCCATCTGGTTGAAACCGCTGGTCAACAGGTGGTAGATCATAGCGATTGGGGTAGTGGCTTGACGAGGCAAAGGACGGACGCGTTCGGCTTCTCGGGATCGGGACGACTCCGTCCCGTTAACAGTGAACTGCCAGCGTTGGTGATCAGAGTCACTCATTGCTTCGGGCGATAAGGCTAAAGAAATTTTGCTTTCGCTCTTGTTGTTATCCGGACGGGAACCTCTTGCGGATGTCGAATTAACCATGTAAATTGCAAACTGAGGTCTCGTATTGTTAAGTCGGTTCGTAATTAGAGTTGCCAGTACAATCGAATAAACTTGGCAAATCGATTTGAGAATGAACTAGCCAATGAAGATTGAACTCACTGTACTGAAGTGGATACAAGATATATTGCTAAGTTCATTCAAAAACGGTTTCACTTTTGGACTGAACAGTCCAAATTTGCGTGAGAAGGACAATACTACGAATAACTTTTTCTGGTCTATTTTAAGTCTAACCATTTCGTCCAATGAAAATGCGCCAACAATGCACATATTTCAACCGCACGACAAAGGCGTACAACTGCACGAGGAATGGCGACCTGCTACGCATAATGGAGACTAACCGCCTTACCGATCATGAGACCATAAGCCGACCTCTAAAAAGGCTCATAGGTCTTTCTGCAGCTCCATGCAGAACAAAGAGTCACTATTGTTTTGTGTAACTGTATTTCCAACACGAAATTGGCAATGATTTCACACTATTTTCACAATATCTCTTTGGTATTCATAATATTTATTGGTATATTGTATTGGTCATAATACGGTTTTTACACGACCGGCATCCGGTTATAAGGCTTCGTGCACGACGAGCGTCGGGCAAATTCCGCTTCCATCGAGAAATTAAGAACCCCTAAATACAAATATCAAGATATTTAAATTTGATGTGATATAAATCGAATTTGCACGACGCACGTCAAGCTGTAAGCTAAGCATTTCTATTGGCTATAATGTGCAAAGCCACAAAGGTGGTCAAACTCCATCCAGTCACGACAATTTGGAGGTAGAAATGTCATGTGACTGATGGAACTTGTTTCAGTGACGTGATGTGGTGAAGGTACAGTATATATACCGGTATGTATGTCGTTGAAACGACAGGTCGGTTTGGATTTAGTGTTAGTGGTGTGATCT